ATATATATATATATATATATATATATAAATATATGTACATATGTATATATTAAAATTAAAAATATTTCGCATAAAAAATCATTTCCCAGATCTTTCTATTCCTATATATAATGTCACAGTCATCTCAAAGAACCTTACAAAATATGAATTCACCTAGTTACTTAGAATTATTACTTATGAGAGCAAGGGATTCCTAGATTATGAATGACTATTGAATATGAGGAACACATTTTCTTCAATGTATGTGCAAGTGCTCAACACAGTCTTCAACTTTTAATGACCAAAAAAAGAGAAGTAACCACCAGAAAATGGACAACCAACAAAGTTTATTTAATTTTTAAACTGTAAAAAAATAACCATGCATTGAAAGTAAAGTAACATGAAATTTAAAGGCACATACAAATGTGATCATAAATCTAACCTTTACAGATATAATCTTCAGATTATAAACTATAAATTGATACTTAGATGTGTAACAACAAAAAATGTGTTAGTCAAAATTGAAGAAAAAGTAACAAAGCCTAAGCTTTTTTATAAAGGTAGATCAGAAATAGAGAAGATAGACAACATACGTAATGTCAACCTCTGAGGAACTAAATGCATCATTGTCTAGATCACTTGCATGTCATAATTCATAAGCAATTTAGTCCTTAATTTTGCATAGTTAAGAAAAAGTAAAATATAATTACATGCTTTAGTAATCAAATAGTCGTTACAACTATTGTAACAAAATTGCACTTCATTTCCAATTAATTAAAGAACCATATCTATCATGATAATTGAGAATATCCTCTTTGTAAAGTTTGGCTTGAGTAAAAGAAATATATTTTCTCTTGTTTTTCAGACATAAGAGCATGTATAAAGATTAAAATTCTAAATCCAGTGAAAAACAATTCAATAAGAAAGAGATAATGAATTAAATATTAAACTGTTAGATAAATTTTATTCAACCTAAGTCTTCAAATGTTTAAAACTAGTTACGTACACAAGAACATCAACCTTGTATCAATTAAATAAAACCCACAAGAATGAGTAGATAGAGTATATATTATAATTTGAGCATAATTTCATGCATAAGTCACATAAAAAAAAAACTCAAAATTTTTTCGGACTTCTATATAAAAATAATTAAAAAAAAAATTACAATAATTATTTATCCAAATAAAAACTAAATTATAAGAAATTTAAGGATCAAACATAAGAAAAGAAAAAGAGCTTCATGAACAAACCTCCAATGGCTCTGGAGGATCTCTAATGTACTCCTCGAAAGGTTTCTTTCTAGCTTCAACCTTATCCCCACCAGTATAAACTATGATCATGTAGTCAACAATCCTATCACCAAAGAGAGTTTTAATATGATTGATACCATACTCATCTTCCCTTGTAAAGCGGTGACTTATAGAGAAAACCATGAGTATTGCATGGAGGCCATCTTTTGCCATACCGATGGACTTAACTATCTCTTTGTCAATGAGCTCCGAACAAGCATAAACATTAAATAATCCTAAAGATGAAAAAAAAATCTTAATTAAGAACCTAGCTTGATATAAATGCTTTACCACATACCATGATAAGAGGATTTTTGAAGAACACATTGACAATGATGGAATTACAAGCAATCCTATAAAGTTCCAATGAAGAAGAAATGTTAACTAAACCTTAGTAGAAAAAATATCAAAAATTGGCTAAATAGGCGCCTCAAAGTTAGAAATCCCCACATCATTGGTTAGTATTTGAGTTTTTATAGCTTGATATTTAAGGAAGAAAATTTCATTGAATTCAAAATTAAAAATTTTCTTTTACTATCTATACCTAAAACAACCCTAAGCAATGACTATAATTGCAAATTCAAAAAGATTTTAGATGTGTAGAACTCACTTTTGTGTGGACCTCTTTTATTTTTATAGAATTCTAGTATATAGCCTGAGAGTTACTTAGTGACCTTCTTAGATGCCTAGAAATGGAACTCACCCACATATAACTTCAAACCAATTTTACATTTACTTAGGGTTTCATAAGGTTAAACCCAATTCCTCAACTATTTGTTGAGATGATGAGGGTTGAGAGTGGTAGGAGCCCAAGTTGAATTTCTATAGGTGGAGGATTCTTTACGCAACCCATGAAGCCTTGAGTCCTAGGAATCCCTGTGATGACCTACCGACTTCCTCTAAGGATCTAGACAAATCCCATTGGGCATGAGGCTAGTTTTTGGCTAGAGAAGGGTTACCATTTGTACCACAACCCTAAATTGAAATAAGAAACTCCTAACATCTAAAATTTAAATTAAAAAAAACTATTAGGACACTACGCTTAGGTTTGAGCCCACCTAATGTCTTCCGCAAACTTAAAGAAACCCTAAGAACAAATAATCACTTAAATAAAATAAATTTAACCCTTAGCTTAAAATACTAAAAACCCTTAAAATAAATTAAAATCAGACATACTTAATACAAAATCAAAATAAAATAATTTATTAAAATATCAAACTACTAAAGAATACCAAAACCACTAGTCAACTTGACCCCATACTAAAAGCATTAAGATTATCAAATTGAACTTAGATCAAACTTAATTAAACAATTGAAATAATAAATTAAATTGATTAATCTGGTTAGTTAGATTAGTTAATCCTAAGGGGGTTTAAATGATAGGCACAACAATCCAAAGGCAATCCGATCATTCAAAGCCAAACCCTTGTAATAGTAAAAGGCAAACACATTACTCACATGACCCAAAAAACCCCTCATGACAATACAAATCAAATAAGATATAATTAGAAGTAAATTAAACACAAAACAAATACTAAAAGAAAAACCATGCACACTTAACTAAGTGATCCATCAGGTGTCACCTTGGTCAAAGCAACCCAAATCAAACTCAAGAGGAGTCATGGGTTACCAAAACTGCGTTAATCCACCAAATCCATGCCCTTCCAAGTTAGCTATAAGTCTTGCCATGCCATCTCCATGACCATTGGAGCTCAACCATGCTTAAGCATCAAATGTTGGGAAAGCTTCTTTACCTCTGCCAAAGCCTCTGAAATTCCTTTGCTCAATTACCGTAGAGCCATCAGAGCCTCTTATGCACGTCAAGGCCTCTTTATTGTTTTCTCATGGCTATTTAAAGCCCCAACCCGAGAGCCTAGCAACACAAGGAAACTCTTCAAACTCCCACTGAATCCCTCTATCTCCAACATCAACTTTTCTCCCACAGACCCTAACGACCACATCCAACCATTTCCAAGCCATCACTACAACCACATAACCTTAATTTCCCCTGTAAAAGCCAAGTGTTTTTACACTCTTGGCATCAATGTCACCGAAAATCCATTCTAACCCTTTCATTAGCTTCACAAGGTCTTAAAAACTCAACCCCAATCAAAATCCCTTCTTCCCACTCCCTTTAACCCAACTTAATTTGAGAAACATTTTATTCTAGCACATACCTAGGCCCAATCACAGATCAAATTCAAGCAAGGAGGAGGCTCATAACTCTAAGGAGAAGCTTCTTAAGCCAACCAATTGAGGTCGCACATCTTGGACGTAGGTAATGAATTGAAACTCCAAAATTTCCTCACGGTTGGGTCTTCTACAACGAAAATGAAGATTGCATGCCCACTTAGCTATATAGATAGATTCATCTCATTTATATGAAGCTATAAAATGAAACCCATGAAATTTGGTTGAGTATGTAGTGAGAAGCTAGGGCTTGATTGTTGACGGTTCTCTGATCTCTTCCCCGTGGGGATGATGAACAAATGTCACCAATTTCCATGTATTTGAAATGAACAGTGAAATCAAACCAGACAGAGCACGAGATCAGATCAGTGGATTGGATTGAGGCCACCTCACCGGCTTGCGTGGAAACAACAGTGAACTGTGAATCGCTGCGTAGAGGGTTGGAGCATTCGAGGATCAATTCGTGTGGTTAGGTAAGAAAATCCAGTTTTTCTGAATTTTTTAAATCCAAAAAATGCTTATAAACTTAAATAATTCATAACATAACAAATAAAAATCATTAAAATAAAATAAAAATACCTCTAAGCTCAAAGAATATAGGAAAGAAATAATAAAAATAAAAATGAGATTAATTAACTATATTTAATTTTAAATTAATTAAATACCTAAAAAAGTATTTTAATAATAAAAAAATTAAATTAAAATAGAAAAATTATGAAATTTACAATTAATAATCCCACCATCATTGGGAACATTTCTTGGTTTTTTCTAAGGCGAGATGACTTCTCTAACATCAAAAGTTAAAATTCTCTATCAAAATTGTAATTATTTTTAAGAATAATTATTAAAAATAAAATAACAAATAGAAAAATACAAATTCAAATGAAAATTCAAGAAGAATGTTATGATAGTAAACCCACACACTAAAAATACTATTTTCATTTTTGAAATTTAAAGATTAAATTAACATCATAAGGGTAAAATTTTTAAATTAAATTTATTGGCCTTTAGCCCAAATTGTCTCCTAAACTTAAATTTAAAAAATAACTTAGGAAATTTTATTATTGCACCAAAATGAAAGCATTAAATCAAATTATTAATTGAATAGGTTAATTTCATAATTATGCCATCAATTATGAAATTTAATTTAAGACAAACCCATCATTAACTTAAAACCAACTTGAATTTATCCTAAAATTTAACTTAAGTATAACCCAACTTAGACCTAACTTAATTCAAAATTTAACTTTAAGTGTAACCCAATTTAGACCTAACTCAATCTAAACTTCAATTAAACTTAGTTCTTTAGACCAAACTTAATAGAAATTTTAAAACTTAACGTAAGTTTATCCCAATTTAGTCCTAACTCAATTTAAACTTAAATTCAACATAGGTCTAACCGAATTTTAACCTGGCTAAATCTAATTGACTTTAAAGTTAACTTAGGACTAACCCAATGGACTTAACCAAACTTAACTCAAATTTCAAACTTAGCTTGGGTCTATCATAACTTGGACCTATCTCAACTAAAACATTAAGTATACTTAGGTCTAGCCCAATTTAGGCCTAAATCAATTTGAACTTCAATTCAACTTAGGTTATCCCAACTTAGGCTAAACTTAATTCAAATTTCAAAACTTAACTTAGGATTGACCCAATTTAACCTAGCTCAATTTAAATTTAAGTTCAACTTAGGTCTAAACCAACTTAACTCAAATTTCAAAAATAGCTTTGGTCTAACAAAACTTGGACCTACTAAACTAAAACTTTAATATTAACTTAGGTCAAACCCAACTTGGACCAACTTGGACCTAATCCAAACTACCTAATCCAAACTATACCAAAAACTCAAGTTTAACCCAACTTAGACTTAAATTAACCAAATTTTAAGCTTGACATAATTCAACCTAACTTTAATATCAACTCAAGCCTAACCTAACTTAGACTTGAATTAACTAAACATAAAACTAGTTCAAGTATAGTTTAATTTAGAATTGATTTAACCAAATTCTAAAGTTAACTTAGGTCCAATTAAATTCAAAGTAAATTAAAAAAATTTTGGTCAATCCAGCCTAACCTAGGCTAAAAACAATCAAATTGAAATCAAACCTAGATCAACCAAACCTAACTTGGGCTAACCTAAAATAAAACTTAAATCAACTTGGGTCAACCCAACCAAACCTAGGCTAACTCAAAGCTGACTTAAATAAATGTGGGTTAATCCAACCTAACTTAGATTAACCTAATTCAAACGTAACCCAACTTGGGTCAACCTAAACTAACTTGGGCTAACCGAAATCAACTTAAAATTAAATTGGGTCAGCCCAACCTAATATGGGTAACTCAAATCAATTGAAACCCAACTTGGATTAACCCAAACTAACTTAGGCTAACCTAAATCAACTAAATCAATTCAGGCTAACCTAAGTTAATCTGAACTAAACTCAAAATTGACAACAATACATCGAGTTAAGGAGTGGTTGACCTCTAATAAGAGAATGAAAGCACTCTTGACCTAAAATCTCACTCGAAAGATAATATGGGCTAAATTGCAAAGTTTGTAATAAACATAAAAGGCATAACAAAAAACACACCTTAAAAATTACTAAAGCTTAAACTTTAACTATGAAAAACAACCTGGTTTGAAAAGGAACTTTAGAGGTGGCAAGTTGCGGGTGTAAACGAGCCGAACACTGGCAACTCATGGTTTTTAACAAAGTGCCTTCTAGTCACTCAGGACTAATCAAACCACAAACCCAATGACCCCGAGAGGGAGAAACCAAGGAATCTTGATCGAAACATTTCAACATAAAAAAAAAATAAATAAACTAAATTACAAAATTTAATGGGCTAAGAAGTCTTAAATAACTTAAAATTTTTAACCCCGTAAAACCTGGAAAATATACTAAAACTTAAATAAAGCCCAAATGTACAAAGATCATTGAATGCGACTTTAACTCTGCTACATGGATCTACGAAGATCTCTTGGATGATGCAACCCATGATTGTTTACAAGAATATTTCAGTCAAGATAGGCTTGTCTACT